ACCGTTTAATACGAACTCTTGTTAGCTGTTAAAATAGCCTTTGCATTTGTATAAATTATCAATTTTTTGTTATAACTATTTTATTTATCATTATTTATTTCTATATTAAGTCGGTCATATTATTTTACACGTTGTATTTTATAATAGCCGCTCGGCATTTTAGTTCTAATAAATAAATTAGTAAAATTAATTTTAATTTTCTCCACGGGCTCGTAAAAATATATTTTTGATTTAGTGAATGCAACGAAATAATGAAGACTTATTATTTAATACACTATACCTGTATAATTTATACCCTCTATACATTGATTATTTTGCTCTGATAAGTTATATGAGCGGTCGTTGACTTTAAAAAAATATGCGTTTTATTTTTATAGGTATTACTTTCAGAGTTTGAATAAAAACCGATGGTAGGTAGGTAATTATATACTAGTTAGTGAGTGCTTTCGGAAACATTGTTAATATTTTTTTCAATAAATATGGTATGAAATGAAAAAAAAGAAAAGAAAAATATTGAAATTCATTATAATTGTGACTGGCAATAAATATTGCGACATTATATAATAACATATAAACCTTAATTGAAAGAAGTCATACATATTTTACTGATATTATAGCAAACGCAAAACACTTTTTAATCAGTTCAATAATCATTGAGCAGTGAAATGCGTCACGATTTTTCATAGTTCATTTAGTTACCCGATAACATGGGTATAGACTCTATATATAATAAATACCCATACATAACTAATATTAAATATATACCATATTGGCATATTAACTTATACCAGGATACTATAGAGTCAAGAATGGCAAGTGCCGCTGGTATGAGTCTATACTACAGTTAGTACCTATTTAGCTTRATTGTTTATTTCAAAGAAAAGTATTTATGTTATCATATGCTCATAATTCGGTTCGGTATTTTAACATTCTTATACCATAGACTTCTGAGATTGTGAGAATATATTACTATATATTACTTAATATTAGTTAATTATATATTTTTATTATAGTTATTGCTTCTTACTATCTTACTGTTTTTTTTTTAGTTATTTTCTTAGTATTCCGTGCTGTAACAAGAATTTTTTGGGGAGAGGCTTCAATATTTTATTGTTAGGGATAGGATATTACCACCTCCCAGTACTATCGGGTATACTATATCCGGTATAGTAAATTTGATATTTCGAACAAAGCCCCCCCCCCCAAGCCCCCCTCTAATATTTGCGCCAATTGGTTGTAGATAATACTGATGACTGATACCTAGTATACTAAGTAGATAATATACAGAACGTCTCATGATCATCATTATCATCATGATGATCTGACATATTATGGAATAACTTTTGTAGTATACATATAATATTTTATACATTTTTTTTCAATATAATTCATACACACTTGCGCGACATTTTTAGTATATACATATTTTTTTTAATACTGAAAATAAAAAACTTGAAAATTGATGAAAAAATATTGGATAAATAAAATAGCCAATTTGTGAATCTGATTATAAGAACAATTTTGATGGTAAAAGTTTTATCTAAAGCAAGTTGCTTATTTTTAGAATTTTTTCGAAATTCAATATTTTAGATTCTGAGCGGAGCTGAGCGAGGGATGTATTGATTTTTCAATGATGTTTGTGCGCGTGTTTTTTTTGTGTCTGTCATCACGTTTTGGGGCAGTAAAATGCTTCGATTTTCGACTTCAGTACCTCGTTCGATCAGAAAGTGAATCTAGTTGGTACTTTTGGTGACCTAACCTTTGGGGAGGGGGGCTGGGTTAAAAGTAAAATATTAACAATATTTTTCTTGATAATTGGGATAAATAAACTAAAAATTAAGGGAAAACGGGAATTTTTACGCACAATCAATTTTAGACAAAATCGATTTTGGTTTTTGATGTAACTTTAAAACAAATGACCATAGATACATAACATTTTCACCGAATGTTTATATATGTATATTCTGTTCACCATGCAATTTTCAAAAATTTCGGCTTAAGCTGAACTATTTATAGGCCATAGAGATATGCAATTTTCGATCATTATTAGTTTTTTTTAAATTAATATCGATAAAAATTCATTTGTTGGGTAGAAAAGCTTGAACATTTAATACAAGGCTCCTAACATATTGTTACAATAACAGTTGAAAAATAAAAGAAATTCATATTATGAGCATTCAAAGTTTGAATTTTGACAAAATACGTAAAAATCACGGAAATTTGCAAAGCTTTATTTTAAGCTAAATATTGAAAATTCATAAAAAAATTTTTCTTTTTAAATCTAAGATTTAAAAATTCAATACAAGATTCCTTACAAGTTTTTCAATCTTTATCACCAAAAAAATGTCCACCAGAAATTCAAATTAAATTTTTTTGAGCGTTTGAAATTTAAATTTTTACAACATTGGATTTTCACTAKATWTCTCATTTRGCGATTTTCTTATTTTGGTGTAATTCTAAAACAAATGACCGCAGATACTTGAAATTTTCACTAATGTTTATATAGCCTTTTTTACATTTGATAATAGTTTCATCAAATATTTTGATTTGTTTTGAGCTGTTTACTGACATTTTAATTTTTCAACTTTTTTAGTTTTTTTTCTATAAATATCGATAAAAATTTATTTGTTAGGTAGAAAAGCTTGAAAAAGCTTGAAAAGTTAATTCAAGACACCTAACATAATAACATATCGTTACAATAGCAGTTGAAAAATATTAAAAATATACATAGGCACGATTTTTTTTTTATAAGCATTTCAAATTTTGACTAAATACGTAAAAATTACGTCAATGTTCAAATTATTTTTGATAGAAATTCATAAAAAATTTCTTTTTAAATCTAAGATTTAAATTGAAGTAGGTTTGAATTCTGACGGAATGATTAAAAGTAAACATGTGATGCAGTACTTTTCAAAATAATCGGAAATATCAGGAATATTTATGGAGTTTTTATTGTAACTCAAAAAAAAAATTATTGTAGATATTAAATTCATAAAAAAATTTTCTTTTTAAATCTAAGATTTGAAAATTTAATACGAGGCTCCCAACATATATTTACAATAGCAGTTGAAATATAAAATAAATACATAGTCACAATTTTTTTTACAAGCATTCAAATTTTGAATTTTTACAATATACATAAAGATCATGAAAATTCGCAAACTATTTGAAGCTAGAAATTCATAAAAATGTTCTTTTTAAATCTATGATTTTAAAATTTTTAATAATCTATAATATATTCTAGACAGATAAACCATCTTTGCTCAGAATCGTTTTTCGTAATACCTACTGTAGGTACAGCAGAGCCATATCCACTTTTCCGCTTTTTTTTTGTTAGATTTATTTTAAACGTAATAACTTTAAAAAAAATGTGATTTCTGGGAATTTGATTATATGAAAGTATATTTCTTAAATTATTTACTTATCATATAATATTAACAATTTTTGTCATATTATGTTTAATTAGTATAATTTTTTTTCGGATCTTTCTGAGACACTCTGTATACCTATAGGGCTATAGATACTAATTCATAATTGCGAAACTACGATAAATCGCTTTTCATCTTCACTAAATCAATTTCACTTATTAAGAATTGTTAATCGCAATTAATAGTGAATGTTAATAATAGGCTTTATGACTTGTTGCACTAAAAATGATCGGAACATGTATGCTAATAAACAGTTAAAATCGTCAAAATATGCTTAAGAATACACAACTTAGTTTTTGTTTTATTTTTTAAATATCCTATAAAACATATTTATTCCGATGGAAAATGGAAACGTCAAACTTTGTTTTGATGCCAATTCAACCAACAAAATATTAGTGTCAAAGATTAAGGTATAATACTGTGGTTTAACCAATTTATGTTAATTTATTGATAGTTTAATACTACAATGGTGTATGGAGTATGATGGTATTACCTATCTCAAATTTCATGGGAATAATATTTCAAACGCACTATTGTGAAAACTGCATACGCGGTACCCATCACGTGATATAGTTTTAATTTACATTTATTTAGGCATAGAAATGACATTAAAACAACATTTATACATGTAGCATGAGCGTGTTGACATGTACCTCGTCGACTTTATATTGGATATAATATACTATGAATTATCATAAGTCATTAGTATTATAAATATTGTATTTTAGTTATTCGATGAATACTAATGTCTAATATAGTATATGCACCTATAGTTTATGTATAATCAAGCTATCAAGCTAATACGTATTTACCAACATTTTACACAGTACACGTGATTTCGTGTCATGTTGCTTGTGGTAAACTATAGTTTAGATGATATATCATCTCATATTCATTGCCTATAATTATTGCATTTTTCCAACAATCTGAGTCTTGTAGATACTTCATGACTCATGAGGCGTGAGCATAGATTCCCATGTCAGATTTAATATGAAAGAAAACTAATTGCCTTTAAAAAAGTATTAATTTACTTCATAACGTGTTTCTTAAAAGTTTAAAGGATAAGAAAGAATAGTATAAGACATTCTCAATGCCAGTGGCGTATATTTAGGATTTTTTCAAGGGGAGGATATTATACGTTAGCAAACCTTTAATTTTTTTAAGGAGAGAGGGTAGTTAACTCCATCGAGATCATAATATTATAAATATGTAACAAATAAGATACCAAAGGGGGATCTATCCCCCATCCCCCATCCCCCACCATAAATATGCCACTGCTCAATGCACATTTCTGTTGCACACATTAAGCATAATGTACCTGTGTTTCTGTTTTTGTTATGTAATTAGTAGTTAGTTACGTTACCTAAGAACTTTTTTGAGAATGGGAATATTCAATTAAATTATATCTAAGGGACGACAAGGTACCTAATATACGTTATGTTGTATAAATCTCAAGTTTTAATTTATTAAATGTATACACTCATGAGTAATGTTAGTATGTTACATAAAGTTGTTTGTCCCGTAGGTACAAAATTTCATTGTTCACTAATCACAAGTCTTTTTGAATTTCAGGAGAAAATATTCAACAGATTGGAAGTACTTCTTGAAAAGTAAGGTTTGTGTAGATAAGTTTTTGTAAGTGCGAAAAAAGCTACGAGCGAAGGAAACTGTGTTGCACGACAACAGTCAACTAGGCAGAACGCGGGATACGATATTGTTTAAAAAAGACGTCACTGACAACCTTGAATCTGCCCCCTCCACTGTCAGACGTCGATCAGCTGTCGGGACGGCGGCGTGCGCGTGCCGAACGCACTGGAGGACGTCAAAACCCACGGACGTACTGTTTACGGTTCTCGTAATCTCGTTCGTTCAACAGCATTACTGTTCAGTGACCAGTGTTGTCATTCCGCACTCATCGCTTGCCCGTTACGGACGTCGATCGCTTCATTTCTGTCCGCACGCTGCATCAGAGTGCATCGGTATTGCAGTAGTTCCAGCTCGTGTCCCGTTCCGTCTATCGTCCGTCCCGCCATGAAATCGGTGATAGTGCAGACCACGCCGTACGAAGGCCAAAAGCCCGGAACCAGCGGCCTGCGCAAGGCCGTCAAAGTATTCCAGCAGCCCAACTACACGGAGAACTTCGTGCAGGCCGTGCTCGGCGCCATCCAACCGTCGGCCACCGGCAGCACTTTGGTGGTCGGCGGCGACGGTCGGTTCTTCTGCACCGAAGCCGTGAACGTGATAATTAAAATCGCCGCTGCCAACGGGGTACGTGACGGTGACCGTAACATAGTATTACATCATTAGAAATTAATGTAACGATTGAAGGAAATCTAAGAAAGGCGCCGAGCAACAATTTTTCTTTGCCAATACAGTTATTACAATAATATTATTGTTTCCACCAATGCCCTTGAACCGTCGAGATTTGTAAATCTTTTCCAAAGTACCTAGGGTGAACAGTTCAGCTAACTCAGGCACCCACAACCCACTGTCGGATTTCGTTTTTCCCTTCCCACGAAACCCCACACCGTTTACTGTTTAACTGTTGCTTTTGGTCAATACTGCATCACTCACATAGGTCATATAGGTTGTTGTTCTGTGATAATACTATAATATTATAGACAATACTCGCCTAAAAGATTGTTTTTAAATGTACATTTATGTTTTAGAATTAAACGTTATGTTCTTATTCGTTCGTTCTGTTTACAGTAGGGCGCGACATGTTGGGGTTTTTTTTTTTTTTAAGGTTTCGTGACGTTTTCGTACATATTATCACAATAATACCGTGGTGAGACATGAATGTCGTCATTATAATATTATTAATGTACCAGTAAGACGTATTATTAAATGGGTAGTACATTACGAGCTTTGCTCGATACTAGAAAACGTATGCTCGGAATATTTATTATATTATTTGCCTGATATATATATAGTAAGTAAGCATTTTTTTCATTTTCTTGAAGTCGTTTACTATCGTTAAAGCCTCGATTTCAAATCCGAAATACACGCAGAGTTAGAATTACAATTATTGAATATTATTTTTTTGGATTTTATGAATCATGAAACTTCACAATGAGCTTAATGTGCACGCATTATCAGCAGAGCTCTATGAATAGATTATGAGTTACGACGTCGTGTTATCTTTATCTGCATAATAAAAAGATAAACTATAATATAACCTTCTCCCTCCCTATTGATGCCGGTAAATGACAGGTAAATGTCCGTAATATAATAGTATAATACCTATATTCAATATTCATTATTGATAAGTACACGGGCGGCGGACGTCGAAACATTATTTTTAGTTAATTTTATTAAATTTTTACTGCACATAATATGCATTATACGATTAATGCGGAAATAGATTCTATTCTACAATCTACATTAGATTTATACTATTAGATAGGTACTTGCGCATTATAATATTGCCATTCACGTGTATATTTTATCTCTCTCCCTAAACTATTTAAAATTTCGATGGGTTCTTACGAAATTATATCGTATTTTTTAGTAGTTAGATATATATTATAAAAATCTCAAGTCTGCTCTGGCCGATAGTCAATACTACATATTATATTATATTGTATTGTTCGCATTATGCTTAAAAAAAAGAGTGTAGCCATGTAATTAATAATAAAAAAACATATTTTTACTTTTGTGTTACTATTTTCGAAAAAAATGTTTAACATATTTTGAAATAAATATTAAATAAGCCTTGATATTGATGGTAAATGACAATATTAAAAATAGTCATTAAAATTGATAAACTTGGTTAATATCAATGTATTTGTTATGTACATAATTTGGTATTTATTATCTAAATGTTTACTCAGTAATAAATTATTAACTATGTAAATAAATGAAGTTGACTTTCAATAGTCATTGATATAATAATATGAAATAATTAGGAAGAAAATAGGTATTTTGGCTTCTACATTTTCTCTTAAAATACTAAAGAGATCAGTTAATCTATAAATAATCTCTAATTCGAAATATTGAACATTATGAAGTTTGCTATATAAAACATACTAATACTTTATGGACTATGATACTGTAATATTAAATTCTATTAAATGTGAAACTATTAGAGTTATCTAGTTTAAGTTTGTTTGTCACATGAATTATCAATTCAAAACTTTATTGTTCGTTTAATTTTTAGGTAAAGAAATTAATTGTAGGACACAAAGGAATTCTATCAACGCCAGCTGTGTCCTGCATCATTCGAAAATATAAAGCAACTGGTGGCATAGTACTTACAGCTAGTCATAACCCAGGAGGTCCTAACCATGATTTTGGTATTAAATACAACACAGCCAATGGAGGTGAGTTTTAATTTGTGATTGCACAAATTATTAAAATATGTTATAATAATATTTACTAATACCAATATTAATATTAAAATTGTATTTTTTTCTGTTTTAAAGGTCCTGCTCCAGAATCTGTTACAGATACCATTTATGAGCTAACCAAAACTATCTCTTCTTATAGCATTGTACCACATTTGAAATGCTCTATAGATTATTGTGGTTTACAATATTTCCAAGTATACAATTTATACAACATGCATACATAAACTTGAAAGTTTAATATAATATAATATTTTTAGGTTAATGGTAAAGAATTTGAAGTAGAAGTCATTGACTCAGTTGTGGATTACCTTCAGTTGATGAAAAGTATTTTTGATTTTGATGTTATTCGAAAGTTAATTCAAGGATCTAATAAAAAAGCTCCTTTTAATATTCTTATTGATTCAATGAATGGAGGTATTAAATATAAAATATATTAATTGGAATAATCTCAATTTAATTGATTCGACATATTTTAGTTTAATATAATTATACTTTTACAGTTTAAATTTTGTTTAGTCTATAATTTATATTTATAATTTATTTCTATAAAAATTAAAAATACTTTGTTTATAGTTACTGGACCTTATGTTGAGAAGATTTTTATTGAAGAATTATGTGCACCATCAAATAATGCCATCAATGTGATACCTTTAACCGACTTTGGTGGGCTTCATCCTGACCCTAATCTCACTTATGCTTCTGGCCTTGTTAAAGCATTACAAGAAGGGGAGTATGACCTTGGTGCTGCTTTTGATGGAGATGGTGTAAGTTTTTATACAATTTAATGTGATTTGAAATTCTATGAACTAATAAAACAAATGAGTGTTTAATTTATACTGTGAAGTATTGTTGCTCCTTTATACGTAAGTAGGCTGCATACTACGTTTTTAATTTGAACAGATTACTTACTTAGACAGTTATACACTATAATCAGTCCAGTGAGAGAACACTAAATGGAAATCAGTTCTTTTTTTATGGGAAGTAACACTATATCATAATAAAATCAGTCACAGTAATAATGTTGAGTTGGGATGCGTAGAATCTGTGTGTTCTTTTGCTAGTTTAAATATAAATTAATTAATAATTTAAAACACAAATATTAAAAACTGTTCAAACTCAATTGGAGTTAGACATTTGACATTTGTTTAAATAATTTAGTTTTCAAGATATACTGATTACAAACAAMATATTACTTATTAACTTAAATTTTACAAGATGAACATAATTAATTAATAATAAATTAAAATTACAATTTTGTACCTATTTATGATTATAGCAACAATTTTAACCTGGTTTAGTTGTAAAAAAATAATAATGTTTAATGCTATAACGAATTGCCTGCAGGACTGTAGCTAAAACTGTCTACTGTGGGTATTGGACTAAATTTAATGATGTTGGTTAAGAGTACATTTGTAAACTACTAAATAGAATAAAATTGGAAGTTTTTTAAGTTGATTGGGTTTGAGGTTCTATAGAAAAATATTTCAAACAAAAAATTATGATAATTTATTTGAGGCTATGGTTTAAAAAAAAAAAAAAACAATACATTACAGTACGATAAGATACTTCTTACTAGACATATTTTGACTCTAATTTTAAATTTACAAATTTTATTTTAGGATCGTAACATGATTCTGGGTAAAAAGGCATTTTTCATCAACCCAAGTGATTCGTTGGCTGTTTTAGCAAATAATCTGGAATGTATCCCTTATTTTAAAGTAAACGGTGTCAGAGGATTTGCAAGAAGTATGCCAACAGGCGCAGCTGTGGATAGGTAAAATATTTTCTAATACTGTGAAAACTTTCTATAACAAATCTCAACAGACCATGTGATTTCTTTCGTTATTGAGAGTAATTAATAGGTTTTAAATCAAACCAACCATTATAAGTTAACTTATTGTTATTTATGTAATATAGAGTTTTTCATTGTAACGAGTTTCGTTATAAACAGTTTTCACTGTATCTCAGTATCCCATCTCTACAAATATATTTTTTACATAATAATATAAAATATGTAGGGTGGCAGCAAAGCTAGGAAAAGAAATTTTTGAAGTGCCTACAGGTTGGAAATTTTTTGGAAATTTAATGGATGCAGGTCGTTTGTCACTCTGTGGTGAAGAAAGCTTTGGGTAATATTGAGAAGTACCAAACATGTTTTCAAGTTAATTCACAACAGATGTTTTAAATTTTATTTTTAGAACTGGTTCTGATCATATTCGTGAAAAAGATGGTATATGGGCTGTTTTAGCATGGTTATCAGTGTTGGCCAATACTGGAGAGTCTGTAGAGACTATACTTACCAATCACTGGAAAACTTTTGGACGTAATTACTTCACCAGATATGATTATGAAAATTGTGAATCCGAACCGTCTAACCAACTTATGTCAGATTTGGAAAAAAAAGTTACTGATCCTGCAATTAAGGGACAGAAATTTATTTATGGTTCAAAGGTTTATATATTTAAACAAGCTGATAATTTTGAATATTGTGATCCAATTGATAAGAGTGTCACTAAAAAACAGGCAAGTTGATTTTTTCTTTAGAGCATAAAAAATTGTGATTTTCATTGAGAAACTTAATTAATAAACTTATTTATAACAAAAATCGAGATTTATTGATGTACTTATCTAATTTATAAACAGGGTATAAGAGTGTTGTTTGAAGATGGATCTAGATTTGTATTTCGATTAAGTGGTACTGGCAGTAGTGGTGCTACCATTCGATTATATGCTGAATCATATGAACCACCAACATCAAATATCTTAGAAGACGCTCAAGTGGCCCTTAATCCTCTTGTCCAAGTATGTAACATTAAACTAATTTAGGAAATAGGTACAGTTAAATTTCATGAAAGCAGACACATTATTATAATAATATTTTAACTAATAGGAAAGTTATGGAAAATTTTAAATAATAAAAAATCAAATAAATAATATTAAACATATATAACAATGTAAACTTACCTCAGGCTAATGACCTTGTTTTTGAAGCCTTATTATCAATAAAAAATAATAATAATAATAATAATAAACATAAATTGTGTGAATTTGAAAAATAATGTTGTAAAAAATAATCTATAGTGACCTAGCCAAGGTTTTGGAATGTGAGTGGCCAAAATAAAGTATAATTAGCAATCGTTTTATTATTTTATGTACACAAATAAAAATTATAAAATGAATACTTTACGGCAATTTTTCAACTGAATACTAAATGTTTATAAAAATAATGGCAGTAATAGTCAGGCACAAAATAATATTTTTACATGGAATTCGGCAAAATAATTGGTAAGATACATTTAGGTTTTTTAGGTACACATTTTTAAAAATTGCACTAATATTACATATTTAAAATAAATTATGTTTAATATTTGATTTTTGTATTAATTTTTTATTAACAAAATGTTTAAATTACAGATAGCTTTGGAGATTTCTAAATTGGTACAATTTACTGGACGTACTTCTCCAACTGTGATTACGTAAAGATCCTGTGTTTCTCTATCCAGAATACATTATTTAGTTTTCTTCAAAATTTTTCATGTTAAAAGTTCTGTGATTTTTAATTTTAGTTTACTTGAACAATATATTGTATTTAAATATAGTAGTTATTTATTTAAATATCAATATGATTAAACTAATATCTATTTTTAAATTATTATTAAATAGTAAAGGCATTTTTAATAAATACATTATATTTATTTTAAGGTATTTATATAATATATATATATATAATTTACTAAATTATGAATTGTTTAAAAAAAATATATATACAAATTTTGTATGTTACTGTTAAAAACTATGATAATTTTGAACAATAAAAGTTTTAAATATTCTTCTCCTTGCCCAATTTATATTTTTTAAATTGTGGAACACATTCATTGTATTATGTTAACACTTGCCATGATTTTAATTGTATTTTGTTATTAGTTTTATATGCATATTAATAAATCTATAGACCATGTTCAGTATGAAAACATGAATTATCAATAATTCATTATATCTGATCCATTTATAATTATCATTTTATGTAAATTATTTGGTTGGTTTGTGTTTACAATATTTAAATACAATTATAACTATGTAAGGTTGTATTGTTAACTAAGTTTTAAGAATTTGTTTGTTAAGTCATTAACTTGTTAGTATAATTTTACTCTGCAACTTAAAAAAAAATAGGTGGGGTTACCTTTGAAAGTTTTTGTTGATGTTGTTTTTGATCTGTAAAGGGTAATTATAACTCTTTAACCAGTTGATACTGCCAATAGCTTGTGGAGTCTAATTTGTCCGATGGGATTTTAAATGTTGACTCGATTAATGTTATAAATTATAAATATAAATATTATTCTAATATAAACTTTAAATGTGTCTTAGGTATGTATTGTGTATATCATATTTTACAGTTATAATGACTGCACTGTATGGGTTGAATAATTGTAATAGTATAAATGTTATATGTGAAGATGCATAACCATATAGATTAGATAAATAGATTTGTATTAGGTACTGTTTGCTTAAAAGGATATCAGCGCACTTTGTTTTCTCTATCCAATCAATCCATACACAAAATGGCAAATCTGTGTTTAGCAAAACCATATTTATATTGTTTGTTTTAATACTAATATGTTCCTATTATCAATGTCATACTTGTATTATTTTGTACATTGGTTTTTTTACAATATTTTAATTTTTATGCAAGTTATTTATCTTCCTAATTATTGCAGAAAAATAGTAATGCACAATGATACCTACTATCACATATAATGAGATAATATTTATAACTAGTTTAAAAATTGAACAATACACTTTCAAAAATTGATTTTGCTGAACACAGATTTATTATGTCGGGTGGGTCAGTATTTCAGTAAGATTAAATAAATAGTAGTGTACTGATATCCTCTTAACTTATTTTTTATTTAAAACTCTGTGTACTGATCTGCRTCATTTAAATAATAGTTTTAGTTAACTATATGTGCTATTAATAATTATAATACATTTGTATGTGACTATCTGTTTTATAAATGGATAACAATTATTTAGTCTTTAGATCTTTGTATGCTACTTATTAACAGATTTCTATTGATTACTGATTTTAAACACATTTTATTTAGGTAACATAAAGAAATAAATATTTATATGACACTTAATAAGTATAGATATCTAACTGATAATAAATTAATACCATTATTGATGAAATGTTACTTATTACTTATATTAGATGTTGAAAACATGAAGATTGACACACATATGTAAAATGCAATTTTTTTCTTTTCTACTTCTACAATTTTTTATTATGTTTTAAAATAGATTGAATAAAGTATTTTGAGTATTTAATATCAGATATCACATTAAAAAAATTTACTCTAAATGTATTTATTTAAAAAATCATGAAAGGATGCTTAAAAAATGTGTGCTTAACCTTCAATTATCACAATATGTTTTTATTTATTGTATTAGCCAATAAAAAAATAAAAATGATGTGTGCTTAACCTTTGACTATCATAATATATATTATTTATTTATTATATTAGCCAATAAAAATGATGTATTATTATAGATTTTTAGTAATTTTAAATTAAAATATGTATTTCTAAATTTTTAGTAAATTTAAATAAAAATAATGTATTTCTTAATTTTTAGCAAATTTTGATAATAACAAAAAATATATATAATATGTCCATGGTATCAATATACATACATGAATGAATAGTAAATTCTCATTTTTTACTTAAAAATTCTTATTACTTAGCTATTTATGTTAGGTTATATATATGTTAGGGTATAGTAATTTAATTTTTGTATTATTTATAAAGTTGTTTTATATGTTAGTCTTATTAAGATATAAATTAATTTAATTTATAATTAAAGATAGAGATTTATAATAATTTTCTGTATTGTTTTGTATTTTAATATTATTTGTATTTTGTTATAGGTTTAATGTAATATCATCCTATTTTATATTGTTTTTATAATACTTTGTATATTATAAACTTTATAAATATTATTGTTTTAAATTGATGCCAGCTTATAATGTTATTTTTCAAATCAATCTATTATTCATTTATGGTTACTAAATTATCAAATATTTAAAAATATTTTAATTTAGCAAAATCTAACTTCCAGTTTATCAAAAGTAAATTAAATTTGAAATATAAAATTCTTTTGATTTTTGAAACCTTATACATAGTGCACATGCTTTATTGTTTTAACAATATTTATAAAAATACTATACAGAAGGATCTTGGTAATCTAACAGATATCAAATGATGATACTCCTGGATTAACAAAAACCCTGTATGTTGGGGGTTCACATAAAAATGAATTTTTTGTTTTATTTAGCTTCTATTATAGACTATTATAGCTCAACAATTAATTTGAATACAGGAGATGCATATAGTATGTGACAATAAAATATATAAACATAATGTAGGTAAATATTAACAGTGGCGTCGATGTGCTTATTTGCTTATTACTTGATATTACATTCACGAGGAACCTCAACAGTCAATAGCTTATTTGTGTACAAAGTTCATTAGGTCAGCTAATTAGCTACCAGGATGGCTGAGTTGCACTTACAGTTACAGCGAATTAACCCAAAAATATGACAACTTTTTTGAGATAATATTTTTTAGGTGCAACGATATGCAAGGGATCAGCTAGCTTGTAAAATAGACGATGGCAGAGTACAATGTATAATTAAATAAATAAATAAATATACACAACTTTTTTTTTTTTTTTTTCCGTTTTAACCGACGACGCCGCGGGATCTGCTTTCGCAATTGCTTCCGCGGCGCCGCCCAAATATACACAACTACACCCACATAACACAACTTATCCAGTGGATGTATTATATGTGGCATTTCAAATATCCATTTTATATCCAGTACACATTTGTGAAATTATTTAGATATCTATTAGATATTAATAGAAAGTAACTATAAAAATAGTGGATTTCCAATTATGTTTGTTAATAGGTATATGCAATATGCATTCATTATAAATTACAATATATCCAAAAAAAAAAGTTCAAAACACATTAATTACAAAAAGTTTTTTATAAACATAATCATGTTGCCTCCTTATCCAATACCTTAACCAACTTCAAGCAGTCAATGCAGAAGCAGACTCTTCTTCCTGAACAGATCCGCTCTCTAATAATGGAAAAACGTAGAGCGAAAGCAGTTTATCAACGCACGCGACTACCATCACACAAAAGCGTTTATAATAAATTAGCTAACTCCCTAAAAAAAACTAGCTAAAAACAAAGTGGATACATTTGYACAAAAACTAATCAATCTCTTATATTCTGATGGTAGCTTATGGAAAGAAACCAAAAACTTAATTAGTCTTAAAACTCCTACCCCTTTAAAGAACCTAACCATACACTTGCTTCTTTTGATACCGATAAAGCCGAAGTTCTTAAATCACACTTTCCTCAATGTGTTGATGAGATAAAGGCTGGTTTAGATCTTCCCTCAATCTYCAATCATTTTGAAAAATATWTCCCGCCCACCGAGTTCAAAGAGGCTATCCAAAAATACTCCTTAAAAAAATTGCCGGGCTATGACCTATAATAACGGCAGAAGTAGCTAGATCCATCCCTAAAAAAGCAATAGTATTGGTAACATATATATTTAATGCAAGTCTAAGACTCWCTTATTTCCTAATCCTTTGGAAATTCTCAAAAATTGTACTATTTCCTAAACCTAATAAACCTTTGGACGACCCATCCTCATACATGCAGGCCAATAAGTCTCTTTCCCTTCTTATCTAAAATTTTTGAAAGACTTATTTTCAAACAAATAAATCCACATATTGTCAGGAACAATATTCTGCCRAACACCCAATAGGTACGGATTCAGATCCTCGCATAGTACCATTCATCAAGGCCATAGGATTGTCGATGCAACATCGCTTTCGTTGGAAAAAAACTTTACTGTACCTGTGTCTTTCTTGATGTATCCCTAACGTTTGACAGAGTTTGGCATGACGGATTACTGTTCAAACTAAAAAGTTTTCTTCCCCACCCGTTCTTTCTCCTAATTAAATCTTACTTAATCGATCGACATTTCCAAGTACATTATCGGCATTATCGCTTTGCATTCTCAGAACCAGAATTAATGCTTTCGTCCCACRGGGGGGCATTCTATCTCCAACTCTATTCAACATCTATGTCCCTGATCAGCCCACCACGCCTCAAACCATGGTGGCGGATTATACTGACGGTAAATTAATTTTGTCAATTAGTGAAAATTCGGTAATCACCTCATCAAACCTTTTTT